GGTAGCCACCAAACGATGGGAAGTTGTGCCTCCCCTTGTACAAGGAGACCTCGCTGGCCACCAAACGATGGTAATGTGTGTCTCATCCCTTGTATAAGGAGACCTTGCTAACCACCAAACGATGGTAAGGTGTGTCTCGTCCCTTGTACAAGGAGACCTTGCTAGCCACCAAACGATGGTAAGGTGTGTCTCCCCTTGTATAAGGAGACCTCGCTGGCCACCAAACGATGGTAAGGTGTGTCTCGTCCCTTGTACAAGGAGACCTCGCTGGCCACCAAACGATGGTAAGGTGTGTCTCGTCCCTTGTACAAGGAGACTTTGCTGGCCACCAAATGATGATAAGGTGTGTCTCATCCCTTGTACAAGGAGACCTTGCTAGCCACCAAACGATGGCAAGGTGTGCCTCCCCTTGTACAAGGAGACCTCGCTGGCCACCAAACGATGGTAAAGTGTGTCTCATCCCTTGTACAAGGAGACCTCGCTGGCCACGAAACGATGGTAAGGTGTGTCTCGTCCCTTGTACAGAGAGACCTCGCTGGCCACCAAACGATGGTAAGGTGTGTCTCCCCTTGTATAAGGAGACCTTGCTGGCCACCAAACGATGGTAAGGTGTGTCTCCCCTTGTATAAGGAGACCTTGCTAGCCACCCAACGATGGTAAGGTGTGTCTCGTCCCTTGTATAAGGAGACCTTGCTGGCCACCAAACGATGTTAAGGTGTGTCTCCCCTTGTATAAGGAGACCTCACTGGCCACCAAACGATGGGAAGGTGTGCCTTCCCTTGTATAAGGAGACCTTGCAAGCCACCAAACAATGGTAAGGTGTGTCTCGTCCCTTGTATAAGGAGACCTTGCAAGCCACCAAACGATGGTAAGGTGTGTCTCGTCCCTTGTATAAGGAGACCTCGCTGGCCACCAAACGATGGTAAGATGTGTCTCATCCCTTGTACAAGGAGACCTTGCTAGCCACCAAACGATGGTAAGGTGTGCCTCCCCTTGTACAAGGAGACCTCGCTGGCCACCAAACGATGGTAAAGTGTGTCTCGTCCCTTGTACAAGGAGACCTCGCTGGCCACCAAACGATGGTAAGGTGTGTCTCGTCCCATGTACAAGGAGACCTCGCTGGCCACCAAACGATGGTAAGGTGTGTCTCGTCCCTTGTACAAGGAGACCTCGCTGGCCACCAAACGATGGTAAGGTGTGTCTCATCCCTTGTATAAGGAGACCTCGCTGGCCACCAAACAATGGTAAGGTGTGTCTCGTCCCTTGTACAAGGAGATCTCGCTGGCCACCAAATGATGGTAAGGTGTGTCTCGTCCCTTGTACAAGGAGATCTCGCTGGCCACCAAACGATGTTCTTGCCATCGTTTAGGTATACTATAAATAGTAACATAGATATTAATGTCGCTATGTATGCCATGATATTGTATATCTAATTATTTACTTAATCAACCAAACTGATTTACTCCCAATTGACACTGTGAAAGCTAAGGTAAATAAACAAATGCATGGAATAATGAATATTAATTTTGTGATAGCAAACGTACAACGTGTCACAACTGTTGAATGGTTACTGTTGAATGGTTAATGGTTACTGCTGGTGATAATGGTGCAGTTATTTAAAACTTTATTTCTGAATGTGAAAACTTGCTGGTTATAAATATGTACACATCACGTAATGTTTATTCATTTACTCACACTAAATTATTTTGCACATATATAATATAGGACAGATATGTAACGAATGCACCTACCAATACGACGAGGATTACCCTGACTACTTTGGCTGTCCCAGTTACGCCCGTCCTAATTATTGCTACAAAGATGTAAGTACAAAACATGTGCGGACATCATTGTCTGGGACTGACCACATCATTAGATCCGCCATTTCCGTTCATCCTCGTTCGTATCTACTGTTATGGTTACTACAGTCGTTTTCGAACCTACATATCAACCACAACATAACTAGGCAGGAACATTTTAGATATGCAGTAACGCAGCAATCGGAAAATTGTGCAGTCTCTCGTGCTGAGTACGCACAATATAGTAACCGTGAAGCAATGTCGAACAAGCTGCTTACACGCTGCTGAAGTAATTAAACATGGTATCAACAAATGGTTTATTTATAAGTCAATCGTCAATCGTCAATCAAGATGTGAATATATTGTGTTGTGACTTTCTAACTTTTCTCCGAATAACAAACAAATTTGAAGCAGACACTAATACAAATTTATTCCATTTTGTTTGTCTACATACAGGAAATCTGCTCCACTGTATACACCAAGACATCCAGTGGTACAACTATCGAACAAGGATGCATGAAAAGCACGGTGAGAAGTATATTGTTGCATAATTTCTGTGTTTCAACTATGTATACGTATGCTTCAGCATCTACTTATTAACAACCATAAAATGATGTCCATTAAAATAAATATAATGAAAAATGTTTTTTTTTTCGTACACGCACAGGACTGCAACACGGCAACTGGAAATAACGACGCCAGCTGTGCTGAAGGTAATCCCATTGCTGGTGACGATGGAACAACTTGTACATTCTGTTGTGATGCCGTGTACTGCAATGATGAATAGGTTTTGTGCAATCGTTGCATTTCGAATGTTTAGCTATGTATTATAGTTAACGACATTTAAATAAATCCATGCATATATTTGTGCGTCAAAATAGAGTTGTTGCTGGTGGTGTTAGTTATTTGCTACATTTTTCAATAAGTTTCAATAAGGGGACAACACTGCCACAGTCACCCGCAGTCATCTTGCGAGATATTTCACAATTCATGACATACATGAACGAACCGAGGGCGAATGCTTATATAGGTCTAATTGTGCAATACGAAGAGGTATACCCAACTATGGCGGTGGTTATCGCTATCAATTTTATCAACTTAATTTTGAATGACGTTCTGAAACACAACAACACAGTCATATTAATGCGATAAATCATTCAAAACATTGCACTCAGTACTGTGGTTTAATGTAATGACCCTGTAAGTAGCTATCTGTTACAGATACATTGAGATGGGCAACACCGATATATGTAAAATCGTCTCAACCGAGGCAATTTTTTATATAATAATAATAATAATAATAATAATGCCGTACTTGTGCACGAACGAGCGAGCCACTGCACTGTTGACGTCGTTTGCGTGATTCTGAAGAATACATTATTATTTTCGTGCATCTCTTTTGAACCCTCAATACCCGAGAGTCACAATGTTTGTCATTACGTCATGTAAATAGCGTCACACAATTTGCTCATTTTAGTTAATGGTAAGAATTTTCCGTATAGGTTTTTATCTGCACTTAGATCGACAAATCAAAACGACGTAATCCGATATTGAAATGGTGGTATAATATAATATGGTGTATATCATCTTACACCTCAATTGTATGCCAGGACGTGTACGCAATTTGACCCATGACCTCAAAGTTATCGCACTCATAATTTTCTCATACTACTGGAAATACTAATGGTAATACTAAATATAAAATCTAAATACAAAAACACTTGTAAAAAACAAATTTAAAATAATAGATACATATATCTGACACATTGTTAGAATTTTTTTGTTTTGTTTCCTCTTTTTCGTTTTGGCAACTCGGATTTTTTAATTTTGTCTGTTAGCTGTTAAACCTGTCAGTCGGGAAAGCTAAAAAGCCGTATCATCTGTATCTGAATGATGTCAACATTGCAGCGACACTAATCCCGGTAATTTTATTTTGAATTCTTGTACACAGGTGATGCTAATCATAATTAATTATGTAACTGAGTGACGGGAATCGACAGTCATCCGTCTACACGTCTGCTAAATAGGTAACAGTGGTCTGCAGTAACATTTAGTATCACTGCCCGTTGTCACTGTCAAGCAAATGAAAACCGCCGAGCAAATCGACAACGTCACAGAATTGCCATTGCAATATAATATGATGATTTTGTTGAAATATTTAGTTTAATACTGTTCCAGAATAGAGGTTTCTAGAGTCAATCAAGCGATAAAACGTGATATTTTATCAAATAGTTGGGTATAAATCTAACATATATATGCCACAAAGTGAACAAATACAATAAATTCCCTGGGATTTTTTTTTTCAAACATATTTCAATGAATGTTTCTAAAAAGGGATGGAATTAGCACACGCGCAGTATGAATGCATGTAACAATTATGGCCTACACATACTGCGTGCGTGGACAGAACAAATCCATTCGTACAGGCCAACTAAATCAGGAACCACAAGTTGTTATTTTCCACAATTTGTTGGTGGTGTATAATACCATCATTTAACTACTTACAAGCAGAACTAAATGCCGTTGCTCAAAATGTTATATGCACCTTATTTATCTAGTTTTGTTCATGCAGATCTAATTATCATTTTGTATACCAGAAGAAGGAGTCGTCATTGGAATATGCCAATGACGTAAAGATGACGTAGATGAGTGTGAAATTCCTGTTTTTTGCAGTGGGTCAACCATCCTCTATAATATTGTAAATTACAACTGACAGATAATTACAGACCCATTTAAATTAAAGAAATTAATGGTGATTTGCAATGACGTTAAATGTAATGTTTTTTGTCAGTCGTTTTGTTTCACTTTCATCTTTCTTTGAATGTTTCTAGTAGTGTAAAACGTGTTTGCATGTCTTTCGTGAACAGGAAACAATACAAACGATTACATTAAGACGATTCCCTCCAATCTTTACATCTATCTTATGTAATAGTTTCCACACTGGTCAAAACTTTATGCTGCGAACAAGCACATAACCGAACTTGAGCTTGGGTTATGACATGGCTATAATAGCGAACTGATTAATATGCAGATTACACAGAACAGCGACCGGACAAACTAGCTCATTTCACTCAAATATATATATTGTGAAACAAAACAATAAGATATATGTACGATAGAATATCTCTTTGACAACTTGTGTCATTTCTTTTCTGACTGGTTTATGTTGATATTCATATCTAGTATATTTGACACATATATAAAGAAAATAGATGTATTGATGATGTATTTTCTTTCTAAAAGCTTAGTGATATTATTGCTGGGTATAGACCGTCCAGGTTAGTTTTACCCGACTGATTAGATGAATGACGGTGAGATGGAAATATTATGCTTCTTTATTTGTACACAGATCTTTAACTGTGCCGTATGAATGTGTTCGCTATATACCGAAGAGCACAATAGGAAACAACTTCAAACCTGGCCCACATGTCTGCCCACAGGGCAAAGGGCCATTTCAGTGACAACTGCTATACATAGATACATCGGCTTTATTGAAAATGTCTTATTTTTTTAAGATGCCTTGTAATCAGTCATATCTGTCTTGATCATATAATACCTTACCAGCACAGATTGTCGCTTCTTTCATTCGTAACATATAAAGTGTGTGCAATAACTGATCATTTACACGTATTTGTGATACTGGGAATTGAACGAGCCGTCTGTCTGATTAATATGTCTAGCTGTTGCGTTATGAATGAGTCACATAACATAATGTGGTTACTAATATTTGTTGAGCAATGAGGAATTGAATGCTGTTGCCCGGAAATATAACCTTTCAGAGAAAAATAGTAATACTGTTTTGTTTGTTCTCAGCCATTCATAAAAAAACACATTATTTGCTTTACACCGCGGAGCAAACGAACACACAATCATTTATTATTAACAAACGTTTCCAGTGTCGAGAGCGTAGTTGAAGAGCCCAATACGTTAATACGTAAGTACAATTACTGAAAATCGCATATGATTAGCAAGTCATCACGTCCGGTTTGGTTCAGTCAATATCATGCATAATGTCAGCTACATCATTTGTGTTTCCCGACAAGTAACGCATTAGTGCAAAATTGATGTATATTTGCAGTAATTGAGTGTGTTTATTGTTCGTGCATGGCTAAAGGTCTCATTTGATAATATTTACTGACATATACATCTTATATTTGACGTAGGGTGAATTTGCATGCTATATACACATGTTTTAGTTACAGTAAATAAAACACAAGAAAATGAAACACGAAAAAAACATTTATAACTACTTTTGGATTGGGGCGACACAGTTCAGGATAATTCGTGAATGTCACTGTCATAGTCATGAGCACATCGCTGTGTGTGCACAGAACACATAGTTATGTTGACCCACAATGCTTTATTTAGGTTTGTAGTATCTTTTCATAATTTCACAGCGAAAACGTTTTCAAGGTGACATATATTATAAATCATTGAAAATTTTGTATCAGTGTCGGGTAAATTTACTGTCTGTGCATATTAAATTTACCGAGGGGTAGTTTCACCTGTAATCTAATGGAATAGTCCAAAATAAACAAGAATGTATAAAAAGGCAAAACAGGACTGCGTAACAGTCATCACATCGCGTCTATTGATTTGCAGTGTAAACATCAGGTAAACAAACTTCCGTTGTTTTATATTAATTACGATTACGTTATATTTGAGATAGCATAATTCAACGAAGCTGCTCATCTAAACCTGCTCACAAATAATTGTACTGGGGCAGGTAAAATTGTGTGCTATTTCCTTTGAGTTGGGAAACACTTTTCCAAAAACCTTGTGGGAGAAGGCCAGAGCTTTTGGCTGGAAAAAAAACTAAATTAGGCGGAACACCAATTGCTAACTGGACAGGTTATAAAAAGATTCCCTGTTTTTATTTTAAATTAGTCAGTCCAACTTTTTAGAATTTTAAAATCCTTGTGAAAAAGCTGTTTAAGGTCTATTGAAACTCTGTCGTGTTCTTTCAAACAAACTTAATTCATTGTGAGTAGCTCCACTTTAAAATATAAAATTTCATACTATAATATCAGTTGTCTTTCTTGATTCTACTGTGTCATGCATATTAGTGTAACTAACCCGATGACAACATCAGATGGATTATAAGAGTAATGTTCTTTGTCTTTGTCAATTAATTACGTGCTTATAAAATACATGATGTCAGATGATGAAATGAATGAATAATTGTATTGTATTTTCAGTATTTCCGAATATGGTGACACGCGTTTTACTTTTGGTTCTAGTAGTTGGTCTGTTCAGAAATGTACGTGGTAAGTTTACAGGACATTTACAGATTATTATATTTCAAGTTCATAATTATTTTTTAAGTGGTCATTGTTCTTGTGAATCAATTGGTACTATGTAGTGCCCTGGCCTAACAGGTATAACGTTTCCTATGTATATAATCAATAATGTTAGTGGCCTTTGCAAATTGTCTGTGCAATTGTCTTATTATTGCGAAATATTGTAAACAAAATGGGAAATCTCATTTGCAGGAGAATGCTCACCAAGAGATTATACATGCGACGATGGTGGCTGTGTAAGAGGCTACTTCAGATGTGATGGTATTCAAAATTGTAACGACAATTCGGATGAAACTGACTGCGGTATTGTATTCTTTATTTGAACATTTCTTACATCGTGATTGGTACGATAGTTTGTTTCGTGCTTTTATGATAAAACCCGCATTAAATTCAGTATTATATCATTTCATTTTTACATGTAGTAAAACACCTCTGACTGATATTTGTATAACTTACTTAAAAACAATTTGTCTTTATTTTAAATGTGTTTTGTTAAAACACGACAACCACAATATTCCAGTGACGGCAATGAATAAATCAATTAAAAAACACAAACTAAAATAAAAAAATATTTGATTTCCATTGAATTAATTTAATTGATTAAATAATTATTACAATGAAAAACTGGTCGTATGTGAGGCATGTAGAGTTCGTCAAAATGAATAACCGTGTCTCTGACAAGATTGAATGAAGATATACATCTACTTACCTGTTATACAGCAATTTTGTAATGAACAGAAAAAAATGTGTGTTCGATATTTACATACCACGTGGTAACAAATTGATGAGTACAATAAATATATTCATCACACACTTCTGTTTGGTCTTGCCCTATACTGAAGGAAAAGTACGCTACACTTTTCCTTATATCACTCTAAGTGCGTGCTTTCAGCCCTAATGTCAAATTTTGTGCAATGATTTTTAGTGCATCAACATTCGTGGGTAAATGTTTTGTGTTACAATAAATTCACATATCAGTCGACCTGATTAATATTTATATACATATATCCCTATTTGCTGGAAATAGCTCGATTAATGTTTCTTGCTCAAACATACAACTGCAGTACAGAGAAATCATGGGTGTGCAATTATGTGTGTGTAAAATTAAATGACGTTTACTGTAACGCATTCATTTGGCTCGCATTCTTAGTCTTTGTTGGGGTTTTGAAACTGAAACATATTTTAGAATTTGTACATTTCCAGTGTGGTTAATTGTTGACTTTGTTAAACAATGTCTTTCAAAATTGAATTTAGAAAGCCATAACAGCAAAGAAAGGTTAAGGTTAAACTTGTTTGACCAATCAATTTTCAAGCCATATTTATTTGACTAGAAGACTTTTGAACTATGTGAAAAATCTACACAATGAATAAATGCACAAAACCCAAAATAGATGCCCATGTGTTTATTATACAATGATGGTAAACATCGAAATATTTATTTAACCAGCTTACTTGTAAGCTTTTTTTCCTAATTGAAATAAATTTGAAAAACTCAAATTACCGAAATGTGTGTATAATCTCCCCAACAATGGGATATGGTTGGAATAACTCAAAACTAATCTATACCGACACTCATTAGTAATTTTTTTTAAGTTTCTCGATGTGTCAAGTTGCTTTTTATACAAGTATACATAAAAACGCGTAATGTCTATCTATACACTCACACTAAATCACTTGTTCTACAGGACAGAAATGTTATGAATGCACCTACCAATACGACGAAGATTACCCCGATTACTTTGGTTGCCCCAGTTACTCCCGTCCTAATTATTGCTACAGAGATGTAAGTAACAAATATCAATTTGCAGGTTTCACTGTCACATGACTTTTATGTCCACAATTTGCGTTAATCATCGTAGCAAGCAGCCTTGTAATCACTTATTCTTAACAGGCTAGACCATACGCCAAACCTCGAGCTGGTTTGTTGATTTGAAATTACTTTTTTCATTCAGACAAATCTACAGTCTGTTGTTAATGTGGATTTACACGAGCAAATGACCGTTCGTACTATGAGGCAATTGCGCACAGATCGGCACAGACTGCTGGATATCAAAAAAATGATTTACTACTGAGTCTGTTGTTGTTTCCCATCAGGATGTGATTATATAGATGTCATTGTATTTGGTGTTGAGACTTTATTTCTTTTTTTTCTGAAACAAACACTAATACGAATTACTTTTTGTTTGTCTACATACAGGAAATCTGCTCCACTGTATACACCAAGACAGCAAGTGGTACAACTATCGAACAAGGTTGCATGATAAGCACGGTATGTGGTATATTCTTGCATAATCTCTACGTATATGTGTTTGTACATATAAATAACAACCACTAACTTGCATTAAAATATATGAAATACAAACTGAATGAAATGTTACATTTCATACAGGTCTGCAACACGGCAACTGGAAATAACGACGCCAGCTGTGCCGAAGGTAATCCCATTGCTGGTGATGATGGGACAACTTGTACATTCTGTTGTGATGATGAGTACTGCAATAATGAATAAGTTCTGTGCAATCGTTGTATTTCACATCTTGAGTTATGTATTTTTTGTTGGCGACAGTTAAATAAACCTATATGCCATACAGTTGTTTGTGCAATATGTGCGTTACCATATATTTGCTAGTGGTAGTGTTTGTTAGTTTGCTGAATTATTTCCTCAATTTGTCAACGTTACGTCATCACACATCTGATACAAATCTACTGGAAAATGAATCAATTTTTTTATTTCTTACACTTAAACTACTTCTACATGGCACGTGAGAATAGATGCCAGCTGTCACGCTGATAATCCCATTGCTGGGGATTATGGGACGACTGTGTACTGCAAAAGTGGATAAGTTTCGTGCAATCGTTACATTTTGAATATTTAGCTATGTATATAAGTTGACGACATTCAAATAAATCCATATGGTGTGCATTTATTTGTGCGTTAAAATATATTTGTTGCTGGTAGTGTCGAGTTTTTTTTCGAAGTAAGGACGAAAAATATTGCCGCAATCGGGTATCCTGCGCAATATATTCGAAGTCATGACATATATGAATGAGGCGGAGGCGAGTGCTTCATGTTCTTATTGTACAATATTGTCACACGCAACGTAATATTACCGTAATTGGTATAGTACAGGTGTGATGGTTCAAATACCAAAATGGCACCAGTAACAGAAGACTTCCCTTGCGGCGATGATAAAATACGCACACGGAGCCAACAGATGAGGTTTCAACTGGTACTGGTATTATTATACTCTGCAAACATCAAGTACAATAACGCGGTAAAACTCCACTACTCCAATGACTAGATACTTAAACTCCAATACAATTCAACGAGATCTCCGATCTGATCTCAGTGCTGAACAACTCCCCTATATATACCCACACTGTCTATACATATACCATTACATAAGCATACATAATGAGTCTGGAATTTACTACAAATTTCTAGAATGTTCCATTACCTTCTATTGCCTCCTACATTGTTCTATTACCTATTCAACCAGTTTCTAAAAATTCCACCCAGACACAGTACGGTTCTAGAACATTCTCAGTCACACGGAAGTGGTAAACAAGTCGTATGCGACAAATATCTTAACGATCGACTACTTGGGTTGCAATGTCTTTTTCAAGTTATGTTTCTATCTCAGAAAACTAAAATAATTCAATCGGTAATTATATTCAGGTTATAATATATTCATGTTCCGGGATAATTTCTAGAATGTTGTTAGAAGACCCGGGTGAATGAATCTGAACTTTTAGAACACTGAAAATAACACGTTTGACCCCATAGACCACATCGTCATTCAGTGGTGGTATCGCTGGCAGAGGGGCCGACTGCCCCCTCGAACAAATGTAGGGGGGGGGCGTCGTGCCGCCAATCAAGTTGTGTCTCTTCGTGTCAGGAAATGGCGTTTCAGAGGGTCACTTCACTATATTACTAGCGCGTCTTTTGCTGTTATTATGAATTTCCCGCAAATTGACCATTTAAACAAGATTGCGGTTGAATGACAAACGTTGTATTCCCTACTGTTTTGCGATTGTATTTGCTAGATTATTTGATTGAACGCAGCATTTACAGTTCAGTCAAAATCTAAAGTTCGTTGGCATATCGTTGTTACAGTAACAATGTCGGCGCCGGTGGTCTCACGTCAATGTGCAAGTTAGACAAAAAAACATGATCATTTGAATACGTGCCTTCCAAGTTTGAAAGAAATCGACCATACATAACGACACTGAAAATCAGAGAGAGAGAGATACACAAGGCTCATTGGCGATCCGCTCCGATCAAAAATACTTTTCCGCTGTTGCCATGGTAGGACATTAATGAGAAGCTAACGTAGCTTTATAACTAAAACCTGGGCCCTATATATAAAGTTCGAAAGAGCAATTAGTCTTCCGAAGTCACTTCACTTCATTATTAGCACATATTATTCTGTTATCATATTGGTTGATTATTTGAAAGTGATTCATTCAAAGTGCGAAAATATAAAAAAAAAATAATCAGTTTTGGGCTGTTGCCATGGCAACCGTGGACCAAGATTTGTTTACAGATATTACCTTTAGGGTGACGGTATGACCCCCTACCAAGTATGAACAAAATCGGCCAAGGCAAAAAATCACAGAAGGGTTAAAATGCGTGTTTTGGCTGTTGGTATGGCAACGGTGGTCCAAATATTTGTGCAGATTTTACCACCGAACTAGTTAACTAGTGTGACCTGCCTTCCAATTTTTTTAGCGAAATCGCCCCCCCCCCCAGTAACATAACAGAATTAATTCCCGAAGACATTGGAAATCACACACACATACACAAGTGATTTTAAGGGCCGTCCTATCGGAACGAATCACCAACAAAAGTTATTTAAAAGGCAATCCTAGCCGAGCGGATCGCCAAAAAGTAAATTGAAGAGTTATCTCAGCGGAGCGGATCGCCAATAAACACGACAACCGCAGTGAGATTTGAAGCTGTAAAACCAATCAATGATATGAACCAGACAAACTATTTATAACAAGCTCTGTAGCAGAGAATTGACCCAGTCAATTTATTCGTGGTTCTATAATTTATAAAAAAAAACATGGCCGTATATTACGTTTACGCATTGGATACAAGTCACGGAGAGTGTTTCTACAACATTTCCACGGCAAGTGAATCGCGTTCCCGCCTACGTACTACGACATGAAAACAAATTTTACTCTGTTACACTGGAACGAAAACACAGACAAGTATGTGGAACTCGGCAGATGGCAGCAACCGCAGTAACATTTCAAAGAAAAAATACGTGTGATGTAATCCAACTATCGCCAGAGTGCATGGGGTAGGGCGTCCAATGTAGTAGTAATAGACGCGGTCAGTGAATAATTATTATAGAAATCCAAACGCATCTTACAGGGGATGCACAGCACGGTAACTAAAATGTAGTAACCGTGTCACGCTAACTAAAAAGGAACATAGTTTCATAAAATACAATACACTCATAAAATGTTTATTATTTATCGAAATCTAGGTTAGCTGCACGTTTGTGTGCTACCATGGCAACTCCCGAAAAAAGGTTATTAATACTAATCAGCTTACCAGCTTTCATTATAGCTTGTCTGTTAGCTGTAATACTTGTGGGCTGGAAAAGCCTTAACATTACAGCGACACTAGTCCCAGTGGTTTTATTCTGAATCCTTGTACACAGGTAATGCTAATTATAATTAACTACCTAATTGAATGACGGGAATCGGCATGCATTCGTCTACACGTCTGCTGAATAGGTAAAAGTGGTCTACAGTAACCAGAAGTATATCATAATCATACATGTACATGTCAATCAAGCACAAATACAAATCAATTTATTGGGAAATGGTATTCAACAAGAACAACACATTCCAATGTATGTTTTTATTTGACAGAACGGGGAGGAATTAGCGCACGCGCAGTATGAATGCATGTAACAATTATGCGCATCCACGTGGACAGAACAAATTCAGGCTTACACGCCGACAAAAGCATCGACTACAATTTGTAATTTGCACACAGGTTGGTGGTACATTGTACCAACGCTCACAAGCTGGAGTCACTTTGCCTTCAAATTACATATTGCACAATATTACTCTAGTTCTGTTTATGCTGTTCTATTAGAATTTAGAAAACACCCCGTGTGGATTTTAGAACTTAAAATCGTAAACCGCTCACCTATAATTTTTGCGAAAGAGTGTGGCTTATAGCAAAGTTGTTAATACGGGGATCTAAGTCGAACGAACAGCGAGTAATTATGTGTTATACAAGAACGTCACACACAACGGACCAAATTGTGACTTTCAAGTAAGATATAAAACTCTTAAATTCGGCGAATTCGTGGTGCTTTACAAGGACATTAAATTTGATGTTATTCGTCGATTGTTTCTAGTAGTGTAAAACGTTTTTGCATTTTTTCGGTAATTGTGTACACACTATTCCAGAAAAATGACATCACCCTACTTTACTCTTTTATTTTCATAGCACTTATGCCAACGTACCTCGATACAGGAGTAATTCAGATGTTTCTCCCTTGACCTTCGCTGCAAGTGTGAAAATAGAGTGAAAAGTAAAATTTACACGATGTCCGCTAATATTATTTACCTCGCCAAACGGTTTTGGTCGAAACCGCCATCTCACCAAACTTGAACTTCATAATAGAAAATAGAAAACTAATTAAGATCCTTTTTGATATGCATTAATAATTCCAACGCCACCACGTGATAAATTGCCAGTTAATCGTTTAATCTCTACTCCAGTTGCTCTAATCATTGTTTATGTTTTCTGACTGGTTTATGTTTTTATCCATATGGATTATATTTTCTGTATAATATATATATATAGAAATATATATAAATCTGGAATCTTAGTGATATTATTTTAATAGTGATACATCTAAATACGTCCTTAGTTTATACCATGATCTTTAACAGTGCCGTATGAATGTGTGCACTATAAACCATATACAACTATTATATTTTGCACACATGTCTGCTCACAGGGCAAAGGATTATTTTAGTGACAACTGCGATACGCAGTTAGATATAGATACATTGGCTTTCCACACCTTTACTCAATATACGAATCAGCCTCAAACAGTGATACATTTCTTTCGAGAATGGTCATTTGACTAAGGATGTTCAACACAAATGACTCGTCTTAACAACTTCACAGATGTTGGCAAATATAATGACCGTGTTAGTAAATGAGAGAAAATTGTTACATACAAATATGATCTGAAATGGCAACTGTGTAGTTTGTCTGAGATAAATGTAATTCTAAAACAGATTATTTAATCATATCGTAGACTTATATCTGATAAATGAAATCACTTATCGGTTGTATGCCATAGGCGGTTTATATGGTGTATTGGTTTAACCGTTTATCGTTGTATCTGTTGTTGGTCTATTGTCTATTGAATTCCAGTAATCATTATGCATAACATCTAACATATAATCTCTAACATCAACAGTAACTTGTCAATCAAAGCGCAACGTAAACTAACTGTCGGGACGTTTAATCACGCGTGCCTCGGTTCTCTATATTTTAAAATCGTTTTTTGAGTACGTTCCAACATTGACAAAGCTTCGAAATTTTAACAATATCTAGTCAAGACAGTATGGGTAAGAATAAGCAGAAACATTAAGACTGCCCACAAACCATTTCCTCATATATTATTAAAATTCTCTTTTTTTTTAGTTTAGTGATCATTCATATTTGTCGAATATCAGCCTACCTTAGCAAAGACGGATATTTTTTATTATTATTACTATATTTACACGTTTTGTAAAAAATAGCTTGATACAATGGTAAAATGGCGCGCGATTGCCACTGGGAAATGAACGAGTCGTAACAACTGTCTGATTTACATATTAAGCCGTTGCATTATGAATGGGTCACATAATATGATGTGTTTACATAATATTTGTTTAGCAATGAGTAATTGGATACTATTGTCCGGAAATATAACCTTTCAGAAAACATTAGTAATACTGATTTATTTGTTCACAGCCATTCATAAAAACAAAACAAAAACCCTTCTATGTTTTTTACCACGGAGCAAACGAGCACGCATTCACAGACGTTTCCAGTGTCGGAGCGTATAGTTGAAGAAAGTAATATCACAAGTCATCACATCCGGTTTGGTTCATTTAATATAATGCTTGTGTATTTAGGTTGTATGAGCAAGCTACGTCATTTGCGGTACAAGTACATCTTACATTCATGTTTGACGTAGTGTGAATTTACATGCAATATACACATGTTTTCGTTACAGTGTTGTATTCACGCCACTTTATCCAGCAAAAAAAAACAAACATCTTAACTATTCGTGGCGCAGGGCGAAACGGTTCATCACAATAAATAAATGTCACTATCAGAGTCATTAGCACTTCGGTATATCTGCACAGAACACATAGTTATGTTGTACCACAAAGCTTTATCTAAGGTTATGTCAGCGTGGTAGTACTCGCATCACATATTCACAACGGGAGTGCGTTTTCAAGGTGACATATATTATAAATCATATAACACTTTGTATCAGTGTCAGGTAAATTTACTGTCTGTGCATATTAAATATAACAATTATGGAGTACAGTATCACCTGTAATATAATGGAACATTCCAAAATAAACATGAATGTATAAAAAGGCAAAACAGGACTGTGGGACATCTATCATATTGCGGCTAATGATTTGCAGTGTAAACATCAGGTAAACAAACTTCCGTTGTTTTATATTAATTACGATTACTTTACTACTGCGAAAACATAATTAAATGGAGCTGTTCATCTAAAAACCTGTTCCAAAATGATTATTTGAGGGAATGTGAAAGTATGAGCTATTACTTATGAGCATAAGAAAAGATTTTGTGTTCATATATTTTTGGCAGGAAACACTTTTCCGAAATCGTTGTGGAAGAAGACCTGATCATTTGGCAAGAAAACAACTAAATTTCGACGGGAGTTAAACAATTCTTAACCGGCGTACAGGTTGTAAACATATTTCAATTTCTCTTAATTTTAAATTAGTCCAAATTTTTAGAACTATAAAATCTCTTCGTGAAAAAGACAGTTCATGGTCTAGTGAAACACAGTGGTATTCTTTCAATTGTTCATTTTTAATTGTACTGTGTCGTGAATATTATTGTAACTAATGTGATGAGCTAATTACTTCAAGCCATGTCCGAATTAGGTTATATCACAGTGTGACTACAATATTTACTGCAATGTGTAACTAATATAGCATAAAACAAGATTATTGTGCGTGGAGTAGTTATGACTACATCACATGGACTGTAAGATTAATGTTAGTCGTCGTTAATTTACGTGCCTATAAAACACATGCCGGCTATAATAAAATCAAAGTATTGTATTATATTTTCAGTATTATCCAAAAATGGTGACACGCGTTTTACTTTTAGTTCTAGTAATTTGTCTGTTCAGTAATGTACGTGGTAAGTTTACCTGATCACAAATGTTTTAAGTTTCCAAACATATTTTTGAAGCCCAGCATCGATTATCATCCTAGTGAATCGATTGATACTGTGTAGTGCCCCAATCAGACAGGTATCAAGTTTCCTATGTATATACTCAATGAGGATAGTTCCACACTGTGTAATTTAAAATAGTCTTACTGTATGCAATTTTACTGTTCGAAGCACCAGTCAACAAGAAAAAAACATCATAGCCACATTTAAGAGCAATGTGTATTACTGAATTCGATTATTACATTCTAAAGTGTCAACATGTTGCACTAAATAGTTTCAAGTTTGTCGCAGTAGTTGGTGCAATTACCTTATTATTTTATTATGATCGAAAATTAGTTCAACAACGAATAGCAATTCTCATTTGCAGGAGGTTGCCGCCGAGGGCAATACGAATGCCATGATGGTGGCTGTGTAAGGGGCTATTTCAGATGTAATGGTTATCAAAATTGTAAAGACAATTCGGATGAAACTGACTGCGGTACGTATTTGTATCATGTAAAGTTCGTAATTAGTCGTCAAAATTAATGTCCATGACTCTGAGATGATTAAGTGGAGATAGACAACTGATTATCGGTTGAGCAGCAAGGTATCAATGTAGAGAGTGCATTTGATAATTACGTTACAGCGTTAAATTAGTATTCCTACCACGTGTGACTGTTTTGTCACGTTTACTACGACTGAACACATTTCCGATTGGTCTTGCCCTATACTGAATTAGAATTACGTAACATTTTCTCCCCTATATCATGATTTGCGATGCCGAAAAAAAAAGAGTTTGCTATTCTTAGGTCAAGTATTGCATAGTTCTTAGTTAATGCATCAACATCCATGTATAACCGTTTTCATAGTAATGAATTCATATTATTTACATAATCCCAAAATCAAAGTCAATACCTTGACTATCATTTAAAATTATTACCTGTTTTCAATTTTCATTGAAATCACATTATCTTTATTCGTACATATAATATCTGCAGTACAGACAAGTTATTTGTTTAAAATTATGTGTGTGTAACAAATAAACTAAGACAAGAAAACATTATGTTTTAGTACTTCTCTCGTATTTTTTTTTTTGTATTAATATAAATTGTGTTCACGTTAACAGAATGTTAACATTTGTGCATCTACATGTATTTGTGTTTTATGCATTGTAACACTTTTTAAGTATTAAGTAATTTGATTTTCCAGCCATATTTATCAGACTGGGAAACTTTTAAACAAACCGAAATCTACGTAATAAATGAATACACAAAACAAGAAATGGATGCACAAGTACTTATCATAACAAGATAGTAAACATCGAATTCTTGATTTAACCAACTTACTTACACAATTGAAATTCAGGAAACTGACGTAAATTTGAAAAAAAGTTTAATTATGGACCACCAGCTTGTGGACTACCATGTGTGTATTTTATCCTCGACGATAATGTTCAAAGAAAGGGGCGCTATTAAATAAAATGTGTGTAGAATAAGATTGCAATAGTGCGAAAACAATACTATACCGACGTTGTGCATGTGTTATAGTGTAACACATTAATAAACAGTTATTTTCATTCCGTGATGTTACAAACTGTGGGTACAAGGTAGAGAACGCGTATTATCTGTTTATTTACCCACACTAAATCTGTTATTTCACAGGTCAGAAATGTTATGAATGCAGTTACCAATACGAGGAGGATTACTTTGGCTGTCCCAGTTACAGACATCCTAATTATTGCTACGCAGATGTAAGTAAGAATAGCCAATTTGCGAGTATCACTGTCATGTGACATTTATGCTTGAGTATGCCATCAAATCTGCTCCTTCCTCGTTTGCAAATAACTTTTTAAACCCGAAAATTGTTCTCAGGCTATATTATAAGCCACACCATGGGGTGGTTAGTTGATTTAAAATTACATTCGTCACTCAGAGAAATCTGCTGTTTCTTATTGCAAATGTTTGTACGCACGAGAAAATAGCCGTGCGTAAAGTGGTGGAATTGCGCACGTGCCTACTAGTCGCTGACGTAATCAAAGAGATTGTCAGCTAATAAATAATTCATGAGTAATTAGATGTTTAGATAATGCGGATATATTGGTGTCGTTGTGTAATATGTAGAGACTTTCTATCTCTTCTCTGAATAACAACAAATGTTTGAGCAAATACTTATATACAAATTACTCCTCCTTTGTTTTTTTACATATAGGAAATCTGCTCTACTGTATACACCAAGACAGTAAATGGTATAAAGATCGAACAAGGATGCATGAAAGATCCGGTATGTATTATAATTTACCTCACAATACGTATTCTCTTGTCCGTATCTATCAATAGCAACCGCTGATTTGCATTACAATAGATGGAATACAAACTGAATGAAATGTTACATTTCTTACAGGACTGCATCACGGCAACTGGAAATAACGACGCCAGTTGTGTTCAAGGTAATCCCATTGCTGGTGATGATGGGACAACTTGTACATTCTGTTGTGATGATGAGTACTGTAATAATGTATAGGATTTGTGCAATCGTTGTATTTCACATCTTGAGTTATGTAGTTTTTGTTGGCGACAGTTAAATAAACCTATATGCCATGCAGTTTTGTGTGATATGTGCGTCACTATAGATTTGCTGCTAGTGGTGTTATCTCCTACCTTTGTCTATGTTACAATATAGTGTACGAAGTTATATATATAATGCATTACCTAATGAGCTACGATATTCAGCAATAACTTTCGTTATTTTTCAACGTTTGATTTATGGCATCAGGGTTGGAAATTCAAAATCTGCTGAAACACGGTTACATCAAATATATCAGATATATTTTATGAGTAGCCCTACAATATCAGATTTAATAAGCGAGTTTAGTATTTTTATTATCTGTTTCCAACCGTTGACGTGTTATGATATTGTAGAATCAAGAATTATGTGACATCCTATGTATTTCATGGAGCAGCTGCGGCTTGTACAGATAAAAAGTAATGATCGTTATGTGTGCGTGCGTTTTCCATACATCGTAGTACTATTTGCAGTGATCGCCGTTCATTAATACCGGTTACCGTAAATTTACAAGAAAGGGGATAGGGATACAAAAGTGAAAAAAAAATCGCCTGGAGTAAACTTATCACATTACTCAGCGGTCGCCAGTCTACACACGGTTACCAATAGTAGTAACAGGCTCTGCAACTACCGGCACTGCGACTCCCCATTGTCACTTGTCATCCGCGTATATCTACAACGTCACAGAATTGCCAATGCATTATTTAGCCGAATGTTGTTCAAGATTGAAGATATAGTACATTTTGTTATTGAACTTATTATCCCCATTCGCTGTTAGCAATGGGATTATAGTAGCAATGTTATACTTCCACATGTTTTGTTCTCGTGCATCTTACCAAAGTATTGTGCTCTTGAACATGAATTAAAGTAAAGTTGGTGTTTCGGAAATGTAGCTTGAAATGTTCAGTTATGTTTAGTAAACAAGATACTTCGTCCCAATTCATCTAGTACCAGGGCACTACGTACCAAACAGCCACGTCGTTCCACTCGACTGTTCCATACCAGTTTGTACCTGCAGGTTACTTCGCAACACATTGTAGTGTCGTATCACCACGTCGCCTTGTGCCACATGGCAACATTGAAACACACTGTGTACTTCGACCCAAGTCATCGCATTGCGCCAAGATCACTCGAAAGCAGAGGGCCGTTCCTAGTCTTGCCCTACCACGCAATCAGTCATTTCGTTGCAACCAAAATCAATATTACTGCATTTAGCTATGTGATCAGTCATCATAGAAAATATATTCAGAAATACAATTTGTTAGTTAGATGTATATGCATTGCAGAGTTTGATTTATATACATTGCAGAACAATTTCGTCGTTAGAGGGCGCGCTTTGTATAAAAGAGCCAAACGAGTATGATATTGAAGTATTATACAGTGATGGAATAATAAGTGTTTGTCAACGGTATAAAATTGAGTACTTGTTCAGTATTCTAACAGTGTAACATAATTTAACGTATCACATTTATCTTCATTATTATGCTGCTAGTAGTAAATATGTGCAAATTTATATAGCAATTACCCAACTTTACCCATTTTGCCGACTCACATCAAAACAGAAAACAAAGACAACCCATGTTTATACTTTGCTGTTGATCATGGCTGTTTTTATTCAGACGTTGCCCCTCCATCTCCGCGATATCCACATTACCATATACTGACGTGTTTTCTCGATTGCCACTCCGACACAAATTAGTCGTGTTTGACTAAGAAAAGACACAGTTACAATAACAAACTGACCGTTTAATAAAACATAACCAAAATTGCACTAGCGCTTACACTCACTACTAAAATATCAAGTGGTAGATGAGTAGTATTGAAGTACTCGAGAAACAATGGAAATAGTAACACTTTCGTAAAACAATGTAACTAACTCGTTCAAAATGTTCAAAAGACAAACGAGTGAATTGCTTCGACTTATCGCTTTATATGTCATATAGAGGGCGCCTTTTATTTATTATCAGCGTATACATGCACAGCTAATTCAAAGTCAGAGATGCATATACTGATATAGTTGATTCTGGAGCATATGTTTTTGATCTAAACTGGTTGTCTACAAATTATATATATACATACATATCAGTAATTTTAATGAAAATGAAGCACAATATTCTTAGTGAAATTGACACATGTTGTTTAGTATGATGGATTCCCACAATTGGGTACAAAAGCATAGAAGTTTAATATTAAAATTGTTATCCATAAAAACCATCAAAGGTGGCCTTGTAAACAGCCATTTAATTCATAGTGGGGTGGGCGGAGTAAAGCTGTGCTTATTTTTAATTTCTTACTGTTTGCCATTTACTATGACCCATTTCCATATAAACAAAAGCTCCAGCTAATATCAGATTTTACTGTCTGTTCTAAGGTGTGGCACTTGGAAATGAGCACTTGTGACACGTGGCAAATGCCCAACTGTCTTGGGTAATAAGATAAGCTAAATTTCAACTAGGAACAGGTAAACTGGTATACCTGTATGTACGAAGCCAGTGAATTTGTTTCAATCAACGGAAACTGCATCTATGTATATAAATACACATGGACAAATAATATTTTCTTGGAGCACTTAATGTGACAACTGCCCTACTATTACTGTGCTAATTCAGTGGGTTTATCCCATCTTAAATATGCCACACCAGCCACAGGTAGTCAAGAAAAACACTGACTGAAGCATTGCGAAGAGCGGAATTGTTGTCAATAGCAATAAACATATTGGACAATTGGTACTACCATGGATTAGTACCTTCCATGGTACTACCAACTCTAACCATATCCCCATTTGGTGACGCATGTCAAGCTATAAATGGGCATCAATACTCATTCCGCCCAATATTTCGCTTCTATAACATTTTAATCAACAGCATATCGCTTAATTTCCGACCGGAAAAACGACCATGTTTTTATCCCTTTTTTTTCTCACTCGCTTATTAAAAACACTGACCGCTTGTTCAAACACTGAACACTGGCACATGAGTTGTCGAAATGGTTGTTTTAGTGCTAAAGTTTGAGGATTCAACAAGTATTAACCATTATTTAATTTCGAACGACACTTCCAAACCATCATACTTTGTTTTGTTCGCGAACGTAACTTGAACTATGACCTCTTGTTATGTGAACGTTCCACAACAAGCTGTTTAGAGCGGGACTGTGTTCCGCTTGAATCCCAGGGCTGCCACCTCGTTTCAACAATATGATTATCGAGACAATTACGTGATACAGGCAATGCTAACTCCTTAGGGCAGAGAGCAGAGACACCAGGAACATATTGATGCCACGGCCATGTATTTAAAATGCGAGCATGCATACGGGCGATATTTCTGGGTTCTCGCGCTCGAAAAAATAAGCGAAAATTATTCAACAGGCGGTTGCAAAAGCGATTAAAAATGATAATCGAAAAGCAGAAGCGAGCAGGAGGTTGGGTGAAATTAGTGCTGTACATTCAGGTCTTTTGTAAAAATACGATCGGCCAAGATCTATATCATTCTGAGGCACGCTAGAGACAGACAAAATGCAGTTTTAAATATTGACACCGTTCGTATTTTTTTACATGTAAATGAGTCAAAAAATAGCGATGATCGATCGAAACAAGTTTTAACGGCTACGTTCTGCTGAAGATGTAAGACTTCATATTCGGAGTTATTACCGAAGATAATGTACGACAGCAAACAACAACAACATTTGGTTACGTGAAATAGATTCACATTCATGTAGGTTCAATCAGTACTGTTGTATCATACGTTTATTTCGTCAACCGAACGTTACTACCCGGAACTGCTCGTCGATTATTATTGCAAATGTCATTTCTTTCTCCCTGGTCAATGAATCCAGAATCAATTAGGTATAAGTACGTTACTTTAGAATGATTTTCATTTGGTTTCACGTGATAGTTAATCTGATTTATCATATAGCATTACAAACAGTAAGTTCTCGGCATGGGTCGGAATACTAGTATACCCCAGACCACTCGTTTTGATGAATGGTCTGGGTGTGGCTTGT